TGCCAGCTGCTGAAATCCATGGTTTTCTGAGCATATCGCTCGAAAGAACCTGTTTCAACTGGAAGAAAGAGGGCCCTCGAGAAATTCAAACAGCGTTACCTTGAGCATATTCAGATACTGAGGCCGTTAAGCTAACATGAGGCTGCAAAAAGTTAAACTAGTGGAGAGATAAAGTTTCTTATGCTTAGGGTGCTGTTTGAAGTAAAGCAAACCTTTGCCAAAGCACTTTGTATGAAACTATAGGGGGACCCGGAAGCCAATAGACTCGTGACTATTTAGAGTCGACGAAACTGAATACCCTTTCAACTGTAGAAAAGAAAGCTAAGTGGCTCGAGACAGTACACTAAGTTTTCTTCCTTCAAGTTAGAGCAATGCACTGTTTTCGTGTGACCTTTTCTGATCAACTTCTTATGCTAGGACGGATTGAAGTGAACATGATGCTTTGATAATGACTTCAAAGACAGATATTAATAAGGTTGAAACTGCAGCGAGAAACAAGAGCTAAGATAGTGTGTAATGCCTTCTGTCATTTGAACGTAGAAGACATCCTCATATTGAATTATGTGTTTGCAAATATACGCTGAATTATTGACATGAATGAATTCATCAAAGTTATAAACACTTATTTAATTGATGTTAAATAAAACTGATAAAACTGCGCAAGTGGTACTAGTAGCATTGATTATCTGAATAATATCTTTCCAAACGGGATCCTGTCACGAAACCGAAGAGAACGCGGTCTTAATAGATAGATATGGTCATGCAATAAACTGACATCGTGAAGGGGTCGCAGAATGAAGTTATTTGCATTGCCCGTTGATACAATGGCAAAGTCTGGCACTCGCTGACAATGACAAATATCCATCAGTAATAAATCTGGATAAGTTATTCCAATGACCTCTGTTTATCTTGGATATGATGACGACGCAAAGGCTGTTATTCATTTCTCTATCTTCTAATGTCCTCGTTTAATCATTTTTTAGTTCTTCCGTTCCTCACAGATGATTGATGCCCTGTAATCTTTTCATCATGAGACTGGTTGATTCAATTCCCAAATGCTTGTGATGTGAGCACATTACGTCTGCAGTTCATCTTGGCCTACTGATTGCTGACAACAGTTCAGCATAAGGTCGAAACGACAAATTTAAAAACTTCAAAAATAATGCCAATTTCAAAAAATAATTGTTTTTAAATAGCGTTTTGTGCAAGTGGCGTGACTGAGTTCAAATACAAAATGCACGAAATTAGTTTCGTCAATAACAGGCACACAAACCGTCACGTGTTTGGGATCATGTCACCTTGCTGTTAAAATGAGGCCTATGCAAATGCAGCAAACCGATGTATTGTCACCAGTTAATGTCATCAACGAGTTAAGGATCCTTTTCAATTCTTGGAACTCGATGGTTTCCGAGTGAGAAGCACCGCCGATAGTCTGTACCACAAAACGGATCGAACCGAGGTGATGAAAGTTGCCTGTTTGCCGGCATCAGTGCCGGACTTCCAAGATGAACAGACATGGCCAGCTCTTGCGGACTGTCATCGAGCAATGGACGAACGTTCGGCGGATGCCAAGTAGGCCAGTCCAAAAGGCCATATGCTGCAAGTCACTCATAGACTCGTGGTCGGCTCGTTTCGATGACTCACGCAACTCCTTCCAAAATGCAGCATGTTCAAAATGTCGTTCTTACACTGCAGGTTGCACGTACAGTAGATGAACAGTCGTAGCACCGAGTTGTACATGAACAACAAACTGATGACGTCAGAGGAGATGGTGTAGAAGTCGTTCGACGACGAGTCTGGGTTCTTCAACCAGTGCTGTGCCAGTTGTTCGCAGATGCCGATGATGAAGCTGTAGGCGTTGCACATCAGGTACGTGGTGACGATGGCGATCGTCGTGTATGACGCGTCAATCAAACTGCGCTTCTCGACGTTGATGTACTTGGTGGAGATCATGCTGCGGAACGGCAGCAGCAAATAGAACAGCCTGGTCAGTCTGATGCGCTTGCGGATTTGGTTGACCAGCGCCACGTTGAAGATGACCAGAACGACGAACGGCAAAAACACCTGGATCACGTTTATGAAGTACAGGTTGTAGATGCGGTTGTAGTCCGGGTTGGCGGCCAGCTTCGGGTAGATCTGGATGGAGGCGAACACCTCCTTGCAGTCGCTGATGTTCACCAGCTCGTACTCCCAGTAGGTGACGATGCGCAGCGCCGTGGACAGTGCGACCACGGTCAACGTGCACCACAGGCGGTAATGGTGGCTCATCTCCAGCTCCGTCTGACTGTTCCACGTTCGGTTGAAAATCAGGTACCTGTCGACGGTGGAGACGACCGTCAGGTACGCAGAGCTCATCTGCACTATGCGGCTGACCGTAAACAGGGGCAAACAGTAGTAATGCCACATCAGCCACAACGGCTCCATGTGGCAGTACAGCGCCAACGCGTCAACGGAGAACAGCAGCAAGTACAACGCACATATGCATATGTCGAACAGAGCCAGGGCGGCCAGGAACAGCTGAGGAGCACGGATATACCTCTTTTTGCCGTACAGGAAGAGCAGCATCGAATTGGTGAACAGACCAAGTAGGGCGAATGGCGTGCCTCCGACGATCACCAGCAGAAACCTGGTGTAGTCGACTGGCTCGTAGTAGCACAGGTTACCGTCTTCGAGCCCAATCGAAGTATTCGTAGATTCGAATTCCATCTTCACTAGCGTCGATAATCTTCGTCGAATGTGATTCAGCCTATGATCTCCTGAACAGCATGCGTCATTGAAAGATGTTCTTTAAAAACCACCATCGAAGCACCATCGAATATTGCAGTAAAAAAATTCTTGGAAAATGCGCAATTTCTGAAATCAAGAAATATAAGCAAGCGTTTACTTCCCATTCATCACGAATATCAATCTTTTATCTGCACTGGGACTTACAGAGCATAAACAGAAAATGTACAAGTTAAATGCAGATGGTTTAATTAATTTTTAAATAC